ACCTTTGAAATCGAGGTAACTAATAGATGTGCCCTGCTTGTGTGGCACTTGGTAGCAAAGTCTGTACATATGTATAAAACGTATATTCACTGAAATTTAGTACTAAGAAATTCTGAGCTTAAATGTCCACCCCAGTAGTATCTATAGTTAACTATGCTTATCTAAAATACATAGCTTGAATAGAAATTTTTAAATAGTTCAGGAGTGATTAAAAATGACTGTCCCACACATGCTATTATTAAATTCTTCCCTAGTCCCACTTCACATTTGACTGACAATAAAGTCCTTGATTGTCACAATATTTTCAATAAATGAGATATTATGAACTGCCTGGTGATATTTTAAACAAGATCAATCAGAATGTGTATGGCCTGTAACGCAGCAATGGAGATGAACTATTGTGCGCAAGCCGGCCAGAAAAGTGAATGGCAGTGTGGGAACCCAGCAGCTCCAAGGTAGGAGCTGTCAAAAACGTTCCCAGAAGGATTTCTCTCAAGGGGCCTAGTCTTGGATTCAGTGTTCCCTCTGAAGCAATTCTTTAAATGTAAATAGTGGATACTTGCATGTCTTTGGACAAAAGCTGAGCTACAATCTATTAATACGCACAATTTTTGATAAAATATAAAGTACCCTCTAACAAAAATGTGGTGGAAGGTGTATGTCAAGAAAACGATACCTGTTTAACAGTACCATATGCTAAATAAAAATAGTTTGGAATTAATGTTTAAAATATGAGCAACATTTTTAAGCCTTTCTTATATTCCTCTCCATTTATGTATATTTATACACACATACACACACATTTAATTTTATGAAAAGAACCCTACTAAAATTCAACGGCGGCTATTTCACTTGTGCCAAAGATGGGTAGGTATGAGGTCATCTTTTCCCGTGGGCTATTTCCAGCTGCTAATACAACTACTGTAACCAAAGCACTTGACGTGGGTTTGGCATGACAGTGGCTGGTGAGAGATGCAGTTGAGCTGTGTGCAAGATAAGAGCAGAGAAACTGCAAAGCGATCTGTTTTGCACCAAGTTAAATGCTGAGCATTATTTCTTTACCGAGCTCCTTCAGAAATAACATTCGGATAAATCTTCATTCTAGCAACGGTCTTTAATTCATGCTTTCACATCTTCCAGGAAAGTGATATCTATCCCTATCTGGTTTCCCCCTGGTGAAAGATGACAGTGCCTGCTAGGTCAGGGAGTTAAAGCACACGTATTTTAAGGTGTGTGTTAGTGTATCGCCTCTGTGGTGACAGAATGCAAAGGAGCATTTTGTCCAGGACACAGACCTGCTGAGCATCATCTCCGTGCGGAGACAAGTTCCTCCCCTACTCATCTGCAGTTCTAACTTTGATACAAAGGCAGCCAACCTGCTGAGGCCTCTCTGCCAGCGTTGTCCTCCAATGTGCTTAAACTGAGAGCAACATTTGAAGAGTGCTTCGTTTTATAAGACTTCACCGTGTCATATTTAGAGCTCTCCATCCCACTAGGAAGCACTTACGGCAGACACGAACATTCCCACTTCAAAGACAAGAGAACAGGAGAGCTCAAATAGGTTAACTGACTTGTTCAGCTACAAAGTGGCCCCATGACCCTCAAACTCATTTCTCCCTTTTTCTCAGTAAATTTCTCAAATACAGTGAGAACTCAGTGCAATTCATTTCTTTCACAGACAGAAAGCAATGTGTATTTTGTTAAAAAGTTGAACACTGGTTTAAATCAGATGCTTCATTCTGGAATAACTACCCCAAATTCTGTTGTCTTCGTATGAATGAGAGCTATACACACCATTTTTTTTCAAAAGAAACTATTATGAAAATTGTAAAACAAACAAAAAACACAAAAAAGGAGAAAAAAACTGTAGTCATCCTCCAATTTTAACATTTTTTTACTAATAGTTTGTGAAACTTGCTGACAAAGCATCTGCAAAAAGAACTCCACTGTTGGACGGGTTTTTGCCCATTATAATACTGCAACATCATGCTACATTTTTGACAAGAAATGAATCTTCTAATTTTTATAGGAAACTTAAAATTTTGTTTTTTCCCCAGAGCTTTCTGAGAATTTTCAAAAAGCCAAGTTTTAAGAGGAGAACCCAGGAGAACCCCACAAATATGTTTAAGAGAAAACCAGAGGTAAGCCAGTCTCTCTCTATTTATAAACAGTCCATGCTTTCATATCGTTTCAGAAACTAAAGTACATAATTTTCAGTTCTGCATAATAAAATATGTAATTAAGCAACATTCCACGGTGGATTAAAGAATTAAAAGCTTCAGGTGCAGAAAAGAATTTGTTGGCATTTTCATTTTCAAGGTGGTATTTTGAGGTGTTGCTTTTTGCTTCCCTTTGACATCTTATACACAAATAAATAGACAGAAGCAGGTGAGAGGCAAAGAAAACGAAGAATTGGCTTCACTACAATAGACCCAAAGAAACATAGAGAGGATATTTGTAATGTGCCCAAGAAAAGGAAATTAAAAAGGACAGGAATCTTCCTTGCCTGAGGAGATTTTTTTTTTTTTAATCTTCAAACAGGGGTTTGTGTATCAAGAAATAGGAATCCCACAGTAAGAGACAAGCCTGTGCAGTGCCTACATCCCAGCTGTACTCATGAATTCACGTGCCAAATGGTACAGTTCAGAAACCTTATTCTTCAAAATAAGAACTCAATTTCTTTAATAGTTCTGTGCCCCGGATACTCAAGTTCACGGAGGCTTTGGGCAATTTTCTTCTTTTTAAAGGATAACATGTCAGATAAAATCAAACTGCTAAGATGTCAGAATTTTGCATTTAACATTAGGAGGGTTTCAGGTAATACATAAACTGCAACTATACACAGTTGTACATTCAAATAAATTTACTATCAGAGTCCTGTACTTTCAAAACCTGTCCAAGAAATACATTTGGTAGAGAAATGAATGAATGAATGAATGAATTAGTGGATGAAGGAGAACAGATGAGGTAGCAGAAATTTTGATTACGCAGAATGGAATAAGAATCACCTTTTATGAACAACCCCCTTTATGGTGCATTTTACTTTTCTTTTTGAAATTATGCTTATTATTGACTGTGTGTGTGCATTCACACGCACGACAGAACAAGTGGAGGCCAAAGCACAACCTGTGGTAGTCGGTTCTCTCTGCCCACCTGTGGGTCTTCAGGTCAAGGGTTGGAAGGAAGTTGGAGGCTGAGTCAGCTCACAGCTCTTTACTTGTACTTTAAATGGACAAATATAAAGAAGCTTCCGGAAGTCTTTAAATGTTACATCTCATGATCTTCTTGAAAAAATGGCAACATTCTATACATCTTACTCTAAGGACTGTCATATATATCGTCATGAAATGGGATATTTTAAAATTAATACAGAATTTGGACAGAAAACACAGAAAGGTAAAAGAC